GCTAGGGTGCTTACCCTGGCGAGCCGCGTGCCGAACGTCGCCGACCCCTGAAGTAGAGGATGTGCATACTTATCTTGTATGTAATTATACCTAGCTTTTGTGTAATACTTTTTCATCAGTAGCTCTAAAGTGCTTACCATTAGTGCCCTCATACAGATAGAGAAACTGAGGCACATGGCGGTGACTTGCACACCATTGGCAGAGGTGGGAATAGAACGCAGGTCCACTGAGTCCCAGTCCAGTGTTCTATCCACTAGCACTAGGTAACATTTTTTTTTTGTTTTTACTCCTTTCAGATTAAAATTCCTAGATGACTTCGTTCCGTGGGAGGAAAAAGACTATGTGTAATTTTTGTTTTTTCTCCAAAGGAAAATGGAAGAACTAAAATTTATCCCTGGAAACAAATTTGCAAAGGACAGAAATACACTTCCTGGTGTGTCTGAGAAGGAAACTGAAGATATCAAGGCTGCTCTCGAAGCAGGAGACCTCTCAGGAGCAGCTTATGTGGCCCATAAGTCTGACGAGTTGCTTAAAAAAACTGAGCTCAACATTGCGATCACAGGGGAGTCAGGAGCTGGGAAATCGTCCTTCCTCAATGCCCTCCGGGGCCTGGGAGATGAAGACAAAGATTCTGCTAAGACTGGAGTGGTAGAGACGACCAAAAAACCAGAGCCGTACAAGCATTTTAAGTACCCCAATGTGATCTTCTGGGACCTGCCAGGGATCGGAACCCCAGATTTTAAGCCAGACACGTACCTGGAGCAGGTGAAATTTGATCGCTATGATTTCTTCATCATCCTCGCTTCGGAGCGGTTCAGAGCAAACCACGCCAGACTGGCCCAGGAGATCCGGAGGATGGAGAAGAAGTTTTACTTTGTCCGCTCCAAGGTGGACTTTGACTTGTATAATGAGAAAAGAAAACAAAACTTTGATGAGGAGAAAACCCTGGACAAAATCAGAAATGACTGCATCGAGCACCTGTCCAAAGAAGGGATAAGCTCCCCAAAGGTTTTCCTTGTGTCGAGCAGGGAATTTCAGAAATACGATTCTCCCAAACTGCAGAAAAAGTTGCTGAAGGAACTGGAAAGTCACAAGAAACACATTTTTCTCCTGGCCCTACCTAACCTTTCCAAACCAATATTGGAAAAGAAGAAAAAGGCTTTGCAGAGGCAGATCTGGAAACAAGCCCTGAAGTCGTGCGCCATCGCAGCTGTTCCTCTCCCGGCTCTCTCGGTGAAGTGCGACATTGGCATCCTGGTGGATAACATGAGACAGTATTGTGAGAGCTTTGGGCTGGATGACATTTCCCTCCATGCACTCGCTAGCCAGGTTGGAAAGTCTGTCGCTGAGCTGAAGGACGTGATCAAGTCGCCATTGGCCAAAGATATCTCAAAAGAAACCGCTAAGGAGCAGCTGACTAAGGCTACAGGAAAGGGTCTAATTTTAGCTAAACATTTTATCAGCATGATACCGGTGGCTGGGACCATATTTGCTGCAGAGAGGTCTTTCACAGTAACATACAGAATGCTGAACAGCTTTTTGGATGACGTCGCTGAAGACGCCCAAAGAGTCCTTATTAAGGCCTTGGAGAGAGAAGACAAATGAATAACGGCAACAAAAGACCAGTAAACTGGATACACGCCTCTGGCAGATGGAGATTGGAGCCAACTAGGGGACAATGGCAGATTCTTCTGTACTCCAATCTAATGCAACAAAAGAAAAAATACTGAAAAAGATATTCAGAGTTTGGGCTTTAAAAAACAAAGATGTAAAATATACTTTAACTTCCTCTATGTAAATCAGTGGAGATTCCTGAGTCCAATGGAGCGACTGACCCCAGCTGCGGATGTGGCCTATCGCATGTGGTGCAAACCGGTGCAGAGTCTGACCGTGACAAGCCAGCAGAGCTGTAATCACAGTGCAAAACGTGATCAGAAAATAGTGAACCCGGAACCAGCTCCTTCCAGCTTTTGTTCTTTCCCTGAGTCCTTTTCCCTTTGCCATTCAACGCTGGGTCAGACCAATTCCACCCAAAGCCTGTGAACACAATTCATTAAAAGGACACCATTAAAAATCGACTTCTGAGCAGTAAGACACCGACCTGAGACCTGTAACCTGCTCAGCTCCCATGGACTCAGCTCTCAA